CAGCAGAAAATAAGTGCACAGAGTTTAAATAGCCATCATAGGATGGGTCATGGGAACTGTAAAAATGTGATTGCTCTTGTTAGTTTCACCATGTGCATACATATTTACATGCACATCTTTCTCCAGTAATGTGGGGTGTTGGGGTTTATAGGCCTCCTTAGGGATGTCTGTTTTAAAGAGGAACTTGAAGAAGAGGGTAGCACCAGCAAGTAATATAATGGGATCCAGCCATAAAACCAGGCGAGAAGGAAGAACTGATGAGGGACATGAGTGGAGCTATTAGATGTGGAGTAGGACTGAGGAAGATAGTAGGTTCTGGGGGTCTTGAAAGTCATAGATAAGGATCTTAAATTAACATCATTAGTGAGGGAAATGATGGTAGGAAACTAAAGAGATGCCAGGGCAGGCCAGTGGATAATTACATGTTTTTGTTGGCAGTATTGATGGAAGGCTTGGGATGGTGTATGTCTACATGCCCAGCAAGGGGGAGGTTGCTGTAATCAAAGGACATAAAGATCAGAGGTTAGGTAAAAGTATAATTAATTTATGCACATACAACAAGCTAGTAGGATGTGCACATTCTTATATAGAATTAGAGAACAGAGTAATATTCTAGGCTGACGCATCAAGTAAAGAGACAAGATACAAACTGAGGAAAGGAATAAAGAAGTTTCAGTTAAACGTGATACAGACCACAAAAATTTAGCAGTCTCTGTCTATTGACTCTTGGGAATTTAGGACACTGATTAAAGCTATATTGTTTTTATTATTTCCAGCTGAGATGCTATGTCAATACATTTGTGCATTAGACTGCTTATCATTCCAATTGCCAGTTAGTACTTTACAATGAGTTAAGCAATGTAATAGGAAGCATTTTCACAAACAGCATGTAATAGCACATTCTTTTCTATCTTCTTGTAATAACTGGAATAAGTAAAGTCTAGAGGTGCTTTATAGGAAAAAAACAGAAGGATTCATTGAGAGCATCCATATAGAGAGGAGAAGACTGAACCTGACACTGAATTTGAGGACCCAAGGGACAGAGGCTATGATAGAAATGCAGTGAGTGATGGGGTCACTGGGGGAGAAGGTGGTAGTTTCAGAAGTTGGAGACAGTGATGGCTTGGAAACAGAATATGATGTGGGTAGGGAACTGGTGGAGAATAAGCAAAACTGAATATGATCAGAAACAAAGTTTGGACTGATTGTGTGCATCCAGACGTGTGGATAATTGGTTCCCCAGGCCAAGTGGTAGTGGACCACCTTGTGCCACAGCTACTTGTCCCTAGAGCACGCCTGTGCAATGCATGCTTTGGTGTGTGGCAAGTTGCCCCAGGTCAGGTAGAGGAGACTGGGACAAGCACTGGGCTGGCCCCAGCAGCCTTACCTGGGGTCCTGGGGGTCTCCTGGGGCTGCAGCCATGGTAATTCTGCCGTGCAGAGCCTAGCGCGGAGTGGAGTACAGCTCCAGGCGGCCTGGCTCTGTTTTTCAGCAGTGCGCGCTGCCTGAGTGTGCACTGTGCCGGGTTTTTTTGTGGGTTTTTTTGACTTCTGGATATCCAGGGATCAGAAAAACCTATGGAAGAAAATAATGGTGCAGCGTATGCTCAGGTAGCACGCCCTTGCAGTGTGGAGAACACTGGACTGTGTGGTATGTGGCTCTGCAAACATATTTGCGATGCTACATAGTGCACAACTGCACTCATCTGGACATGCCTGTGGAGGTCAAAGTGGGAGAGCACTTCTAGGGTAAAGTTAGTTATTGGAGCTATTGTAGGAGCCAGTTGTTTTGTATAAAATGACTAACAAATTTCAGCATCCTTAACTAACAATTAAAACTGGTACAGCTAAGTCACTGTGACTTAATTGGATACTTCATTAATTGAATTAAATTCTTCTTCTTTTGGAATTCTTGGTAAATGTTTTCCTATCATGAGGTTTCCATGCTAGCCAGTTCACTAAATTTGAATATGGTTCTTGTGATTTGTAGGACAGAGATGAATGCACTGAATCTCCTAACATTTGTGGTGAGAGGATAAAATGCCTGAATACCCCAGGTAAGCTTTTAGCTTTCTGTGATTAACAAAGAACTACATCTACTGGATCTTCAGTCCTATGTGGTGGAACTGGTCCAAGTTGATGGTGCTTTCCATAACTTCTGTTTGGGTGTTTTAATTCCTGCAGCACTCCAATGTCTTTAGGTGTACTGTTCTTCTCATTTGTAGTGCTGTAAATTTGAATAAACACCATTGAAATCAATGGCATTACTCCTGCTGGGAAACTGGTATAAAAGCATAATTAAGTGATCTGTCTTTTGCACTTGTTCAATGATTTGATTTAATCTAGTACATATTATTATGGCCTCCATCTCTGTAGTATCTGATACTCTTTGTATTGTAGAGTAGTGTTTCTCAGCCTGTGGGTAGCAATGCAGAAGTGGGTTGCAAGAATATATGAAAGGAGCCTCAACAAACTTTAAAAATAGATCAACAAACTTTAAAAATGGATTCTCCTTTAAAGGAGAACAATGTGGGAAACCGTGGTTTTTCCCTTGCAGGCCAGTTTTTCCCTTGCAGGCTGGCAAAGTTCCAGTCTGTGAGGGGCTGCTTGCATGCCCCCCTTCCCCCCGCCCCGCACACTCACCCTCTAGTCCACACACTGAGGCCTGGGGGCAGCAGGTCAGGAGTGAAGGGCACTAGGTCAGGACTGGCCATCGATGTTTACGGATGTGTCCTTGTACAAAAAGCTTAGAGAGCCACTGTTATAGAGTACTGAGGTGTGAGGTTACAGGTTTCATTTCCAACATATTAGGATGGGATATTCAGAAGCCTCATAACTGACTTAAGACCACATGCTCCATTGAACTTTTCCACTCTAGTTTTAACTTCATATGCCACCCTAGACTGTCCCTTTCCAATCAGTATGAACATCAAGGTCACAAGTATGAACTTAATGAAAATGTTGAGTGCACTATGCCAGCAGGCATGTTGATTTTTTCCATAGCTAACTGGCCAGAAGAGATTTGAAAAGAATAACGTGGAATGGTTTCATAGGCTGTGAACATTGTGGGATTGTAAATTGAGTTCTTCCCCTGTCCAAGGGACTGGGATCCAGTGAATATTCATCTGCTGGCTGGATCATCACTTTTGCTCAGTAGAAACTGGATACAGATGGAGAGTATGATGGGAACACATCCACTGCTCCCCCAGGGAAGGATTAAAGAGAGGACATGGGCTCAGTTAAATCTGCCTGACATGCATAGGCAGGAAGGAAGGCTTCAGGAATAGAGCCAGCCATCATAGTGGTCCCCGAGGATGGGCAATGTTCAGAAAGAGTTTTCAAGAAGCAAGATAGCACTAGGGAGGGGCATAATATGAGAAAGGAAGCTGGAAGGGGTTAAGGCTTTAAAATCACTTGAATAGAGACAAAGGGAGTTTTATTTGGGGTATTTGGGTTGGAGGTATTAGGAAGGACTTTAGGACAAGACTCTGGGGAAAGAAGGGCTGAAGATGTGCTAATGGTTCTGCTTTGTTGCCATCCCATATGGTTCCCATCCTGGAAGTGGTAACATTTATGTGACCTCACCAGAGGACTGAGTCTTTCAAGGAACAAGGTCAACTCAGGGCCTGTAAGGCCATCTGATGGAGGCAGATGTCATGGGATCAGACATCTGATGTCATGGGACATCCAGTCAGGATGAGGTATGTAATTTGGTGGGACATTTCCACATCACCCAAATCCAGTAGCAATGTAGGTGAAAGGAGAGGCACCCTCAACACCTCCAATTTAATGGTCTGCTCTACACACAGGTGAAGGGGCAATCGTTGAAATATTTTGATATTTGGGTCAGGAGATAGCACCCTTTTTAATCTCCCCATTTCAGTCATGGGAGAAGGAAATTTTTCTTCTCTTAAATTTCCTTTTTAATTATTCAAAAACTGTTATTTCCAGAAATCATTATGGGTCTGTTCATGACAGTTCATTATTTTACACAGTCCAATTTCCTTGTCAATAGGGAGGTTGAAATCAGATGTCTGGTTTGGAAAGGAAATCTGAGCTGACATACGAGGGCCTGATGTTGAATAGGGGAGGTTTCCTTAGAACTGCATGTGAAGTGTTTTCAGCTGTAGCAGCTCTTGCAGACCATGTAGCTTCAGAATGAAAGGGAAAGAAAGCATATTAGCATAGCCTTGCATGAAATGAGGAGCTTCTCCTCTCCACCATTCCAGCTCACTCTGAGGAGCTCTGAAGCTATTTGGCCCTTAATTATGTATGCAGTAAGCTGTTCTGCTCTCTAAGTTGGCATTATGCATCTGTGATCCTCAGTGATTTTTGTATGGCCTGGGATGCTGAGGGACAAAAGCTGAAGATCCCTCTTCAAGCTCTCAAATCTCAGTGATTTTCAACCTTTTTACATATAAGGCACCCTAGGATACACTTGCAACACCCCTCAGAAATTCCAGCTCTTAGTTTTCACTCTTTTTTTTATTACAGAAAAATAATAGAGCAGTTTTTTTCTGTTGCAAAGAACTTAGATCACAACTATGGATTTATATTTGATATCTGTGGCTAGATACAGACATTCAAAAAGCCTGAGGTGGAGTTGATCAAACTTTTGTAGGTTTCCCTAAGCTGTGTAAATTACATCAAGAATGACTAGAATGCACATTCTCTCTTCATTTTGCGGGGTTGGTGGAGGGGTTGCACATGGTCGTCTGCACTGGCTAAAGCCAGTAGGCTGGAGCTGCTCCCACACACCTCCCAGTGCACTGAATGCTGCCAAGGGCAGCTGAATGTATCTTATCAGTGAGCCACACCTGATAGGCTGCTGGGCACACCCATGGCCCTGGCCACCCCCGCCCCCCGACCCAGCCAGAACCACTGGGGAGGGGGGGGGACACTTGGCAGGGGTTTTCCCCTCCCTGTGTTCCTCTTGCCCAGCCAGGCTGTGCAGCTCCCAGTTACCTTGCTCTTCCCTGCCCCCCACCCCCCCAGCCCCTGCTGCCCTCTACAAAGGGTTTTATTTTGCTGTGAATGGAAGGTGAAGGTGGGAGTCAGCTGCATGTGCATCTGGAATTGAGACCTTCCCTTCCCTGCAGAGCCGGGGGATGTGGGATGGATGGGGGGATGCCCAGTCAGTAGCTGCTGAAAGGACAGGGATGGGGGTGTGTGGAGGGGCTGGTCCCCAAATGCTGCCCCCATCAGCCAGAGGAGGTACCAGGGCATGGAGCTGCAGCCTGGAGAGCTGGTGCCCCTTATCCTGGCAGTGCCCAGCTGTGAGGGCCCAGCCTGGGAAGGACAAGAGGTGACATGGCCTCTTTCTCCCCGGTAGGGCCCAAACCTACAACTGCGCTGACCCAGACTGGGAGCATGGGTGACTGGTGCCTCCTGAGTCTGGGGGGGCACAAGATTGTTAACAGGGGGGTGGCCCCCCCAGTGGCCAATTGCAAATTGGGACGCGGGGGGTTCCCCAGCAGCAAAACCGGAAGCGCACTTCCAGCTTCACAGCTGGTGCTTCCAGGGGGTGCACAGCCAATCTCATGGGGTGCACGTGTACCTGTATGCACCCCCTCTGCGTCACCGAGTTGGGTTGGGGGGAGGAACTGGGAGGCCCAGACAGGGTCTGGGGGATCTAGAGGGCCTCAGCGAGTAGGGTAGGGGGGACTGGGGTGGCGAGGATTTGGGGAGCTAACAGCTGGCAGGGGTGCAGGGCTTAGGAAAGAAGCCATGCTGTGCCAGTCAGCAGGGAAGGGGGGAAGCCCCTTCATGCAGCCCCCCTCAGCTATGCGGGCTGGGGTGGGGGCCTTTGCTGCCTTGGCTCTGTGACAGCCCGGGGTCAGGGCTGGCCCAGCACTGGGCCAAAGCAGATGAGTGTGGGCCAAGTCTAATTCACATGCCCTGCAAGGGACAGTTAGCAGGGGAACTGCAAAGCATCCTGGGATGCTGGGGGACTGTGACCTAACTTGAGTTGGGAGGGGATCTGGCACAAAAGTTTGATAGACTAACCTAAACATGTATACGGGTCTATCTTAGACCAGGCTTCACCATTTTAAACCAGTCTGTGTACTGAACTTCTGTTCTGTTACAGGTTTAGACCGGTTTCCAATCACTCGTACTGGTTTATGTGTAATGTCTGTATCTAACCCATGGGTTTATTTTGGGTATCACGTTTGTAAACCTAAAAGGGCTAATATTGCATGGCCCCCTGTGGCACACTTGAAAGTATCTCAAGGCATCCCAGTGTGCCGTGGTATCCTGATTCATGGCTCTAGACCATGAATTGAGAACAGCAGACCCTGAATACAGAGTAATAATCTAACATTAAAAAACTTGCCTAAGTGTATGTTAAAGGGCAAATTATGTTTAAGATTAAAATAAACCTTGCTAAACACTGCAATAGATCATTTTCTACTTCGTAAACCAGTTAAAAGTACATGCAGATAGGTTTTCTTTTCATAGCCATTCAGCTATGGAGCAATGACATTTCTCTGTCATTGGGAGAACAATCCTTTAAGTGAATGAAATGCAAATACGCAAGGGAGTATGAAAATAAAACTGTGTGTTAAATTGCTGTATATATACTGGTCTGTCTGGCAGCTCTAACTATATTGGAGGTAGTCTTCTGTTTGCTCAGCAGTTTGCAGTAGCCTGCTGGTGCCTGGCTCTTAATGCTCCTGCATAGGAAGAAAAATATGACTAATTGGGGGTCTGTGGCCCACATCTGGATTTCAGATGTCAGCCCATGTTCCCGGTGTAAGCCAGCATTTGATTTCAGTCTTGATACTGTGAGTAAACAGAGTTTAAGAGTTAATGAAGAATTCTGGATAAATAGAGACAATATTTAGGTGTCAGGACGCACTTCATGAAAGTTTCAGGAAAGGGGACTTTAAGTTTTTGGTTAGGTATGATTTAAAAGGCTTTATAGAGCACATTCACAATTAGCAAAGCCTCAGGTTTTTTCATGCCCAGTTCTGACAGCCTGATTTTCATCCTGCTCTCCTCCTGAAAACTTTTGGCCATTTGCATCTTCAGGTGAAGTCAGTGGCAGTTGTGTGCACTTAGCACCTCTAGAAAAACACCCAAAGTTAGAAACACCCTTTTGAAAATGTACCCAACAACTATATTCTTTGATCTATTAAGGATACTATGTGCCTTGCAGGCAGGGGGATGTAGCTGTGAGGTGGAGATGACTTTACGTGGGAAACTCTCCGCTGGCTGAAAGTAACTCTACCAGTCCATGAATGAGTCAGCTCCAGTGAGCTGGGGACAGGGCATGTGTAAGCAGGGATGTGGTGACTGTATAACAGAGGGTCATTATGCCCAGTCCTCCAAATTAGGACTGAGATACTGAATGGTGAGGCTACCTGCAGCTCCCCTGCACTTCAGCAGGTGCAGCCAGGGCCAGACACAGGAATGGGCAAACCAGGCAGCCTCCCGGGGCCCAGAAGGAAAGGGGGCCCGAAAATGATAATTTTAAAATTTTTATTATCATTATCTCTGGTGAAGGGAGGCCCAATACTAAAAGTTCACCCGGGGCCACCCAGAGTCTAGGTAAGTGCTGGGTGCAGCTTGGACAAAGTGAGGGATCAGGGCATTTATCTTTAAACTTTGTCTACAATCAAGGGCCTTCTGACAATATTGTATAATCTAATTTGTGCTTTGCTTTGCTTGGCTGCTATCAGGTGATGTATAAAAGAAGTTTGTTCTGAGAAGCTGTAGAGTATTTTTAGGATGTGATATATCTAAAGATTAAATCTGCCTACTTCCTATGAACAGGTGGCTTCCGATGTCTTGGGATTGCTGAAAGAGATGCGACATTGGGATTGTGTGGAGAGGAGTATTTCTTTAACAAAGAAATGCAGGAATGCCAGGCGTGCTCAGAGTGCGAAGATGGAGCGGTAGCTGTCCCTTGTTCTGCAGCCAGTGACACTGTTTGTTCAGCAGCCAGTGAAAACAAGCTTTCCGAATCTTGGGCTGGAAACATTATTTTACCCTCAGCAAAATCTGACCGCTGTCAGGTCTACCCTGGCTTATACTTGAAGATAAATGGAAGGCTTCACTGTGAAATTATATCAGTTGAAGATAACTGCCTGGTATTCAGACAACATGGTTTGATGTGGACTGATCTCAATTTTGCTGTAAAGCACAACTGCAGAAACTTTCTTCAACTCTCCTTGAAACTAAACAACAGTGAGGAAGGCTGTGAACTGAGTGCTGTTCGTGTTGAGCAACCAGAAGGCAAATATTTCCAGAGCACGAGTTTAAGCAGTGCTGCAGAGGTAGAGCCAAGCCAAATTCTCTCTGTGTTTCTGAGGAGTCCAAATCAATTCTGCAACCAAAGTAAAGACTTAAGTATTTATGATCTTAATACACCACTCAGTTTGTTTTGGTTATCCCATGATACGGGTGCAGTGGCCATGAGTGCGCAGATGTCAACTGCAATACACTACCAAACTAACTATCGACCAACCTTTAAAGTTATTTCCGTTTCTGACCCTTACATGCTAAGTTTATCGCATGATGGCAGAGCTATAAAGTTCACCGAAATGGGTGTTGTCAAATTTGTTTTTCATCAAGCATTGTATTCCATGGGCCACGCATGTGTTCGTGAAGGCTTTTCCTTAGTTTCATACATTAATAGGAATGGTACCAACAGAGAATTAATGAATATATTTAAGTCTGGTGTAAATTACAGAGACACCTCAATATCTGCCTCTCAGGCCACCAAAGTCAATGCTGGGGATTTGATTAGCTTTGAAATACTTTCTCCTCCTCAATGTAACGTTCGGTATTTTGGAGACAGCTCTGGGATTAGTATGTTCAGCCTCATCTGGATCCCATCTGCAGTTTCCACTGCCATATCAGCTACAGTTTTTGTTACAGGTTTGCCTACAGGAGTGGTCAGAAACAAATTATTGTGTTTCACCCAAGTCTCCTCCCATGAGAAACAAATACAGTTAGTTGCTTCAGGACAACTGGCTCAGAAGTATTTCACCTTTACAGAAAGGGGGATTGCCAGTGTTGCTCTTAATTTAAAGCTGATCCACTCTTGCTATATACTCAAAATGACTCTAAATCAGTTGCTTAGAGATCAGATGCAACCCACAGCAATTGCTCAGCAAATTGGAGGTCAGATACCAGAGGGAAGCCTGTGGACCAGCGTGTCCCTCCACTCTTCTTTTGACGTGCATAATGGCACATTGATATTTGTTTCTCTTGACTGTGTGCGTGGAAGGATCAATCAGATTGCTCATGAACATGGAACCAGCATATCTATTTTATGGATTTCATCTTAATTATGGTAGAGTGAAGCAATTGTGGACAGACAGTTTTCTGTGACATTTGAATTTTTCTATGTGAACGTGCACAGAATATTGCATTAAAATATTATTGGTAGGAACCCTTAAAAGTAATCTTAGTTGGATTGTCACTCTCTAAACACAATGGATATATCTGCTTTTCCAAGTGATTTCTCTGACATCTGGGAACAATAGAAGCTTGGATCCAGTTCTAACTTTATTTTTTAACAAAGCAGTGCCTTAAAATAAGATTTTGTAGGATTCAAACAAAAGGAGGAAGGAAAGAGAAATGGATGATTTTTAAAAGGTACTGAAAATGGAAAACCGAAACAATCTGCACCTGCTTTCACATACTGTTATGCCTTCCCTATAAAAGGGCAATACCAGTCTTTTTGCTTTTGTCATCTTATCCAGCCCTTACAGAGTGGTGGGACTTTGTGTAAACTGAAAGAATTTGCTTCAGACTGAAGGTAGAAAAAAAGATAACAGATGTTTAGAAGCAGGGCTGATCAGAGTAGAATGTAATTTTTACAAACTTGGTTTTTAACAAAGAAAAGGAAGTAAATGGCTGTTTTTGTTTCATTTTGATATGAAGAATGTAAATTTGTTTTTTTAGGTATTATATTTGCTTTTTAGCACTGTTGTTTTTTCAACACTTAAAAGTGTACGAGGGAAGGTAAAACGAATACCATATACCTTTAAATTTAGGACACAGAAAATTTAGATACATCTAAAAAAATATTAAAATGACTCAATTTAAAGAAAAAACCCCAAAATATCAGATCAAGATAAACCTCTTTAAAAATAATACAGTACAACAAAACCTCCAGGTGCATGTACTTTCCCACAAAATTGTGCTTTTCTACCAATTTAAGATGCTGACCACTTTTAGAAGAAAATTTTGTTTTAAAAAAGGTGTCTCATATTTGAAAGAATACAGTATTTAGGATGAATGAGAAGTAGTAGGGGGAGAAAATATTCAAATTAGTTTAAAATAGGCGGTTCTTAATCTCTGGCCCATTGGCCAGATCTGGCCTGCAGAAATTGCCAGGGGTTGAAAAATTTGGTGGTGGGGGAGCAGTAGCAATTGCTGCTCCCCTGCTGCCAAATTTCCAGACATGTGGGAAGCCCCATGGGCTGGATAGCATGCTAGATTTGTGCACATAAGTAGCCTGGAGCCTGTCCAGGGGTGCAGGGCTGAGGGAGTTGGTGCAGGGCCCTTTTTGGGCTACCAGCCCTAGCCACTCATTTGGCCTTTGCAAGCGAAACATTGAACGTTACTGAACTGAACAATGAAAAAACAAAAGGAAATATTTTTGAAAGGAAACAAAATTTTCTTCCAATTTCTGCCTGTGGCAGAAGACTTTAACCTCCCTGGACATTCTGTTGTTGAGCTCAGAGTGGCTTTTCTTAGATCAGTGGTCTCCAACTTTTTTATGGCAAAGATCAGTTTTTGGAAGTAAAAGGCACCCCAGGATCTACCCTGTCCCCCCACCCCTGGATCATGAAGAGTGCTAGACCTGGGGCCTGATCCTGATCCCACTTATGTGCTGCAGCTGCACTGAGCTGTGCCCACCTGGCTGCCCAGTGGAGGGGAGGGGGCCCTGCATCCCTGGAGGAGCCCCTGGGCTCTAATCCTCTCACCACCCAGCTGGGCTGGAGTCCCACGTACCTTTCCCAGCTCTTGGCTGGGCTGTCCAGTCAGTTGCTCACCGCGGGGTCCTCAATCTTGTCTCCGCACCTTCTCTCCCCCACAGATTGACCTGCTGGGGTTGGGGTTGTGCACCCAGCTCTTCCCCAGCCCAGGATTGACCAAAAGAGGCTCTAGAATTGACCTGTCAATCAGGATCAATAGGCTGGTGACCACTGTCTCAGATAAAACTTTAAAAATGAACTTGAATGGGAATTTGCAGAATAAGAAATCACGTACACTTGCACTCCCCCACTCCGTGCTTGAAGATGAACAGGGGGAAAATCCCTGTGTGGGTCTGGCTGAATGGGGGAGAGTGGGGTGTTCCTCCACCCAGGCAGACCCATGGGGCGCTTGTCTGGCTCAGACGGGAAAGTGCCACAGAGGTAATAGGCATCTGCTGCAGTAAAGCAGCAGAGCCTATTACCACTTTTTATTGTGCCACTGATTTTCCTTTCATGTGGAGGAACAAAGGATATCAACCTCTGTTTGCTCAGTGCTTTTGCTTCCATAACAAACTTTATGGTGGCACCAATGAGATGTCAGGTGACATCCATTTCCATCTAAGGTAACACAACAGTCAGGTGGTAAGGAGGCCAGCGTAGTGGTGCAAGGCACGTTGCGAGACTTCTTCACTCCTTTTAGGTGAGCTCCAACTTTCACTGACTGTAGAGGGATCGCAATTTTCATTGTCCATTCTAAGACTAGATTATTTTATGTTATCTAGATTAGGATGACAGTATGTTACAGTAGAAATAAATCTCCTCATCGAGCAGTTTTAGTGTGCGACACTTAAAAGGTATAATCCGCTATTACTACTACTTAACAGAGAATCTTTTATTCAAAGGAAAGGAAACCTGTCCTGGAATTAGAGCATGCTCTGGAGCCAAAAAAGACTATATATGGAGGAGCCTTCTTGTTCGAGAGAGGTGGCATTTCTTGCCCCTTTGTTCTGCAAATTTAATTAAACTGGTCAAAGATAAAAGGGAGTTTAATTTCTTTGAAAATATCCATCTGCTCGTGAAGCAGATGATTCAAATCATTCTTAAATGCTTAAAGAAGGCCCTACCCATTAGCTGGTAGTGATTTTACTGAAAAAAAGGTAAAATGGGTCTCCTGATACTTTCCTCAGGGTGATTTTTAGGAGATATAGGGGAGGAATGAGTGGCTCTTCAGAGAAAGGATCCAGGTTGTGGGCTAAGCAGTTCTGAGGTAGGGACTTCAGAAGCAGTCAGTCCTTGAGAGGAAGGTTGAACTTAGTTTTGTGATGGTTAATAAACCATCATTAATTCGCAAGCCTTCATTAATAAAGCCCAGGATAGGGTGAATCTTTGAGATAGAATCTGCATACTGTGCTGTTTCAGCAAGAGTTACCAAAGACAAGTGCTCACACATAAAAGCCATGTTCTTGTGTCAGCATTTCAGGTATTGTGCCCTGCAGGCCATGTTATGCACTGATACCCCAGATACGTACTAATGTACCTACAAGTTAAGAGTCCCTGGATAACTGAGATCAGAATCTGCCTTAATCTCTCCAGAGCAGAATACAGGAGTTGTCATGCAATACTGAACAGGAATGTTTGCCCAGATGTAAGAGGATTTCCCCAGATATAGTCTATCTTGGTTGGTTTGACTGTATCATTACTTGGGCAGGTGTTACAATGTCTGTGAAAATGCTGGTATGTTGGATTATGAATGTACCCAGTGAAAAGGACTTTTTTCCCCACACCACAACTCTCAAATTCTGAATCATACATGTGTTTATTTTTCTACATCTCTTCTGCTTTATTTAGTTATGGCAGGAGGCTGGTATCAGCAAGTATTTTATCTAGTAAATATAAGGTAAATTTGCACTCTGAAAGTGCTTCACTATATGAATATGCTGGTTCTGCACTTGCAGAACTCTGAAAATTCCCATTGAAGTCAGAGGCAGGATTTCTAGAGTGATATCTTTTCTTGGACTAATTGCATAGTTGGGAAAGAATTTGACAAACTATTGAATCCAAGACATTCTCCAGGTTATTTTTAATGTGTCTTGCATTCAAAACTTGTCAAACTCCATCCCAACTATGCAGTTGGTGTAATAAAAGATACCACCTGAGAAATCTTTGCCTCTTGCATAATTTCTGGCTCATCATGGCTACAACATCACTCTAACACTGTCTTTAAAATAGTAGATGCACTATGCCCCTGGCTAAATTAAACTAAACATGGCAAATATAGCTTCTATTCCACTCAAGTTATCTTTTAGGATGCAAGCACATTAGAATATATCAATCTTCATGCTACTGCATTGACAATGAATTACAGGAAACAGCAGTAAATTAGGAAGTAGCTGATGGAAAAAAATCCATCTCTCAGTTGAGAGTCTGTCTTTGATTATACCAACATCAATATGGAGTAACTTAACTGGACTGATTCCAGTTATGCAGCATTTTAACTGAGAGCAGAAATTGGCCTTCATGTTTACATGTGCCCTGAACCCATTGCATGGTACCAACTATTGTGCTACATAAAAACTGATGCTGTGATCTTCAGTTCAAAAGAACCTGGGCATAGTTTAAATGAATGCCAGCTGTGTGGCACTCAGAATAAGTAATTGAACATTTTCCCTATAATGGTCACATTTTACTTACTTTTGTTGACAAACCTTGAGCTCTTTTAGTTTAAATAAGTTAATGTTAACTCCAAGTCATCCAGTAAAATGCTATACCTTGCATTTTAAATCTGTTTAGAAGCCTCCTCAAAAAATGAGGTGCTCTGATACATAGGTGTCAGTGTAAATACCTAGAGAGATTTTCTCCCATTCAGACTCTCACAGGGTAGTATTGTACTTTGTGAAGATTTCCAGTAGGGATTCTTGCAAAGTTAAACTATCTTGGAATATGACTAACAGTATAAGACCGGCCAATTCATTTAGAGATGGAGCTAATATACTTACCATCTTGCAGATTACTTCTGTTACACCATGCATGTAACACGTAGTACTTTACTATAGTAATGTTGTTCATTGCAGAAGGAAAATAATATAGGTTATTGATGCTGCTTATATAAAAGATTTGGTTTATAACAGGCCTCCATTTTTATGTAAAAAATGCCTCAATCTGCATTTTAAACATTTTGCAGCTTTAAAGATTTTATCTGAATATATTTTATTACTTTTACAAAGTGTTTTATACAGTATTTGTGATAGTGTTAAAACTGGGAGGAACATCTTAAGTATATTGTAATTTAACATTGTGGTTTGTGCCTCTTTGTATGTTTTCTGCTGGAGTTTTCCAGAGTATGGTATATTGTTAAAACTACATTAGTTTACAGGGGCTTTTATCTCAAGTATCCCATTTCCAAATATTGTATTGATTTTAAAATATTGCTCTTGTGCTCAGTCTACGTTAATATTGTATCATATGTCATAAGATAATTTAACTCAAATAAAACAGTATACTTTGATGTTTGTTTAACATTCTGTTACCAAGATGGAGTGAAATCCTGGCCTCACTGAAGTCAGCAGGGCCAGACTTAACCTGGATTATTTGCCTGTGATGTTCTTGCAAACAGTGTTGCAAAGCCAATAGCAGTATGGTTCTTTCCACTATCTGATTTTTTTGTATAGTCGTGCACATCTCACTATAGGATGTAAGTAGTTAAAAACTTGAATCTGATTTGCTAAGCTTATAAATGATTTTAATAAGAAAGCATGGCAGTTCAAGAAAGATAGGGTTAAAATAATTAAAGTAAAATGAGATGAGACTGTTAATCTGGATTTATAAGAAGTTTTCCTGCATAGCACTGAACATTGTATGAATGTTTCAACCATGCATCTAAGCATGTGCTTAGCTTTAAACAAATGATCAATTCCAGTGAAATTAATAGGGCTATTCATGGGCCGAAA